TAATATTATTCATTATCATCATTTATTTATTTATGATAATCATCAATCTTTATTAAAACAGAGATCTGTTAAATTCAGAACTGGTTAATATTTAATTTTCATTTCACTTCATTTATTTTGTCCCATATAAGCACATTAGAGTATGTAAAAATTACAAAACAGAGAAAGAAAGTCATGCAAGACAGGATTGCTCAAAAGCGTTCGGGTATCATTTGTGAGGGAGTTCTCCAAAGCATGACTGACAAAACAAAATAAATATACAGATAAACAAAAAGATTTAAAAAGCACTTATTTACAATAGTGAGTTGGTTTATAAGATAGAGGGCACCCTATTTTAAATTCGCAGATGTTTTTTACATGCAGGATGCATTCCCTACAAACAACTTTTACGTTCTAATTCGCCTTCTAGTTTGTGAGTAGTAATGTACGAGATAGAGTTCTGCTTCAAAGAAACCGCAACAGCCGGACCTCTTGTTCCCATTCTATATTCTTTGCTTATATTATAGACATAGAGTTTTAGTTTTTGTCATTATTACCTGTTTCTCCATAACGAAAGGATTTTGACTAATTAATCTATTTTTACTTGTTGTTTGTTCAATGATAATAACGTGACTATATTAATATTTATTTTTTTAAAAGCAAGTTAAATATAAATTATAATCAAATTTACTTATCAGATACTCATCGGATTTTGTTGGGAAATGTTCTGGTTTTTTTTTAAACACACAATGAGTACTATGATCTTTTAAAAAAAAAAATTTCCTGACCTCCGTTATTATATCAAAACGTACAATTATTTCATTTAAATTATGTTCGTCTCATGTGCGGATTTTGTGTAACACACAAATTTAATACTGAAGTGAAGTTACTGTTAAGTATGAATGAACGCAATGTTAAAAGCGGGGAAATGAGATGTTGATGAACAGTTACAAGTCCATAAAGAGAACATAAGGTAGGAATTCCTACAGTGAAAAAAAGGAGAGGTCTTATACGCCCGATATACAAGTATATGGTATCCGCCGCATACGATCTTTGCGTGTATGCTGTAACCATGGCTGTAAATTGTGATTGTTACAGCATGCACGCAAAGATCGTACGCGGCGGATACCCTACGCGGTGGATACCCTACGCGGTGCTATTTACACGATCTTTTGTTACTTTTCCGCCAGTGACGTCATGGTAAAATCGTATATAATCGCCTATAACTTCATAAAAAATAGCCAAAGAACGATTTTAAGGTTGATTCTATTATTATTGGCATATCAAAAATCCATTCTAAAACAAAAAATCATTTTGCTAGTTTTAAAGGCAGGCTCAGACAGTGTCGCGGATTGTAGGCAGACACAAGTAGCTGTGGCAGCGATCCTTACTAAGACTGCTACCGGCGTTTAGCCGACTGGCAGTACATTGGCCAAGTTCTCACAAAGAGCGCAGACAAATTCGTTGAGCGACTCAGTGTCATCCTTTGCAAACTGCCAACCACAGTACAGATGTACTTCGCAAATCATTAAGAAAGTCATTAACCGAAAGGTCCACTGATTAATCTCAGATAAAGATAATATAATATATACTCCAAGTATCAAAATGCACGCCATCATGTCGGGATTCAATATTTGACATTATATTCCTGATGATGACATAATTAATGTCAAAATATTGAATCCCGATATTTCGATACTTGAAGTATGTATTATCTAAACTCATTAAAATATGGTAATTTTGAGAAAATATTCTATTATACTCCATACCGCTGATTTCTCTCCACAACTCCGAATAGTCACACCTCTCGGTTGGCAATCTCTAAAATTAGCCAAATTAGGAAGTTTTCCAACCAATACTGTACATCCTTATTCTTATTCTAATGAATTTAGATAGTATAATACATACTCCAAGTATCGAAATGCACGCCATCGTGTCGGGATTCATTATTTCGACATTAATTATGTCATCATCAATATTGCCAAAGGTGCCAAACTTTGGAATGAAATTAGCAATGATGTTAGCAAACACTGTTAAGAAATTGTCCTTATTTAAAAAGTATATAATTGCGACATTGTAATAACACGTAACTGTTAACACCTTTATAGTAGTTTCTTACATAAACTACAGTATTTTTGTTTTGTTTGAGTTTGTTTAGTGTAATTAAGTTAGTTTAAGATTTAAGTCTAGTTTAGATATTTGTGTGTTTAAACAATTGTTTGATTTGCTTATTTTAAGTCATTTAATTTTTTTTTCTGGTTAAATTGTTGTATACATGGCCTTGCAGAATAACAACTGTTAGTTGAGCCAAGTTTTCCGTGTTTTAAATAAAGCTTATTGTTATTATTATTATTATTCATTCATTACTTATTACTTTAAAGCCTTTTGATTACCTCTGAAAACTACATAGAGTACAAAGCTATCACATTAAAAATACCGATGCTAGGCTGGTAACTTGCGCAAGAAAACATGAAACAATATTCTCATTTATCACCGGTTTCCTTTATAATTTAGAACATTACTCTACACTGACTTCAAAGTATAAAAAAATGTTCTTGATTAAATTTTATTATTAAATAAAATTGTTATACTGTAGTCTTTAGTTTTCTGAATTTTTTTGCTGTTTCTATGCTCTGTTAACTGTTGCAATGTTTTAATGGCTGTTGTTTGATCTCTTCCATATTGCTATCAGTGTAGTGTACAGTACTGCATTTAATCATTGATTAAATAATTTTTACTGCCAATGTATCAATGCAAGTACCGAATTTCCTTTTTTGGAGCAATAAAGTTTATCTTTTCTTATTAAAGGACACGCATGAAATCTAGAGCATTTTTTTTTACTAACTCTGATTCCTCAAATTTCTTTAGAATTTATCACCCACTTAAATTTCTAAATTACAGTATTAAATTTCCAACTACCACACTTACTCAATTTATCATCAATATTTATATTTTTAAATATCCTCTAACACATATTGTACTATGGTATAAGTTCATCTTCCCACACCTCTGAAATGACCTTTTACATTCAATGATGCACAGAACGCTTCCTTTAAATCCTTATTAAAAAGCCACTTGATCTAGATGTGGAAATGAAAAGCATTTTTTAACAACATTTTTAGTCTTACTGTAGGCCTACCAGTGTCTGTAGTAATTGTGGCATAAACATTCAGTACTGCATGGTACAAGATCTAATGGCTTGGCCAGAGGTACAAACTTAGACACCTTGCTTAAAATGCTCCAATGTGGATGAGACCATTTGTGCTAGTTTTTGAATTTTAGTTGATGAGAAGTGACAATCAGGTGCGAAAATGCACAACTTTTTTTTTTTTTGGCGAAGCAAACTAATTTAATTTAATTGTTTTTTTTTTTCTTACTTACAATAGGCCTAGCATAAATTCTAGAGTTCATGTCTAGACTTTCAATCATTTTGTATGTAAAATCGGTAACCTGGAGATAAAATGGGTTGAAATCCATGCTCAAGTTTCAAATTATATTAGAATGTTAAATGTCATTATATCAAGTATGTTAAACTCTTCATTGAAAAAAGAAATATAAATTGCAAAAAAAAAAGAAGCTAACTCTATTTTCAGGATGTTTGGGCTTTGGTAACATAAATTTTTCTGGTCGTATAATTTAAAATTAATATTAAATTATTATTATTTTGCCAGATGTCTTCCTGGCTATACTAATTCTTATCACATAAGGCTAACCCTGATGAACCTAGCTAAAATGTCAGCTAATGTTTTCAAACTATAGGTTTACAATGTGCCTTCTTAGAAAATTATTTTAAAAATGATTTACATATTAATTATTATAAAAGTAATCCCTTATAAATGTGGAAATAAAATATTCTTATATAAAAGGATACTGTATCGGATATCAGATGAACAAATGCTCAAATTAAATTATTTTTGTTTTTGTCGATGTTAAAGGGTTTCTCCCGAGTCGTGCGATGACAACTCATGTGTGAACACGTATTATCAGTTGCGAAGGCATGCTTTTCAGGGCAAACACCTATGATTTGTAAATTATATTTAAAGTGTCCGAATACATGCTTCTGTGTAAAAACAAGACATACTTTTTTTTTTTAGACATACAGTTACCTTAAATATATATGTCAGTGTGAAAAACTGCTATAACAAGGCATCATATCATAGGTCTTATTTACAGTCATCTTAAATATTTCAGTGTGAAAACATGCTAAAACCAGAAATCATATCCTAGGTCTTACAGTTTCTTAAATATATATGTCAGTGTGAAAAACTGCTATAACCAGGCATCATATCATAGGTCTTATTTAGTCATCTTAAATATTTCAGTGTGAAAACATGCTAAAACCGGAAATCATATCCTACAGTAGTTCTTACAGTTAACTTAAATATATATTGTATGTCAGTGTGAAAAACTGCTATAACCAGGAATTGCATCCTAGGTTTTACAGTTATCTTAAATATTTCTGTGTGAAAAAATTGCTATAACCAGGAATCACATCTCTCAGTGTGAAAACATGCTAAAACCAAACATAACATTCTAGATCTTAGTTTAATCTTAAATCGGAAGCTCCTAACTTAGCATGACTACTTTTACTACTTAGCAAGCATGTCTTCACGGAGTGAAAGTATGCTGTCCTAAAGTATCCTCATAATTATACAGTAGTGTGAAAGCGTGTATTAATGTTCTGTATCGTGAAATCATAAATTACCATACAAACACGCTTTAACAGTGTAAAAGCATGCTATGCTAGTGAACAATTGGAAAAATGTGTATTAATGTACCATGACCTACTTTAAAATCATGTCTCCACAGTGTGAAATATGCTATATTTACGTCATCAGTGTGAAATGATGTTATACCATAGTTTGTGTGGATGACTCATAATTACTATGAAGATGAATTTTGTAATCTCCGAAGACTATAATAGGAAAGCAAGCTTATAAGTTATAGAAGGCTTGATTCAGATCAACGTCATTACTTAAACTTGGAGAATGTGCAAATTAAATAAATAATTTACATCATACCTTTGTTTGAATGTACTTGTTTTATTGAAGGTTGTGCCACCAATATTTCCTCACTACATGGTGATGCTTCTTCTATTGGATCATTAATATTATCACACTGAAAACAAAGAAAAACAAACAGAATAAATTACAGTATTTAAGCAAAATTATAGGAATTACCATATACTAAATGTTCAAGACATTTATATTTTAAAAAATAGATTTTTTTTAAATGACATCAATAAATATTATCATAGATTTCAGGATAAATGCAAATAAAATAATACAAATTAAAACATCTAAAATAAAATATGTTAAAAATATAAAGTATGTTTTTATTATCTATATTAATCCATTATTAAAAATTAATTAATTTATAAATTTTAACTTTATAAAATAAAAAACTTAAATTAGAAATGACTCTTGAGTACCAGTAATTAAAATATTAATTTTAGTATTTTAAGTAAAACTTAATCATAAATTATCACCATAATCATCATTTAAGAAACATAATTAGAAAGCAGAATATATCAGTCTCACAAAATGACCTAACGAGAAAATGAAAATGATCATTGCTGATAGCCAATTGAATGTCTACATATCCAAAATAAGCCAGTTGCTGATTGGTCATTATCATATCAGCACACCAATCATGTAGTTCCTACCATAGTATGCAACAGACATCGTCATTGGGAATTCCCAACATTGTTCTGCATAATACAAATCCGTAACCTCCCTTTACCCAGTCTTGATCCTTCTTTCCCTATCTAATAAAACAGAAAGCTAAATTGGATTCTCAATTTCTATATGCAATCTATATGCAATTTAAAAAAAAAAAAAATACATATTCCATGGATACGTATGCTATATTATTTCAATCAAATTGAATCTTAAGACTTTTTTGAAGGGCAATATAATAAATGCATTAAAATATACATTTAAAATATTTACATTTTTAACAAAAATAGAATCATGAAAAAGGCTCACTATCTCACTATAATTATGATTAAACATAATGGTATATGTACTGTAGTTCTATCCTGATAGTATACAGTAGTAGTCTATTAATTAATTCATAAATTTAACTTAAAATTCTTAAAAAAAAAACAGCAAGATATTAAATAATTAATAGAATGATAAGTTAATCATTTGGCCATTGGTTGCAAGTTAAACACAAGAAAAACCTGGAAATATATATATAT